TGGCAAAGCACAGATTCTATTATTGCTGAAATAAAGCTAAAGCTAGAACAGTGCCTGCCTCCATTGTAAGGTCTCTGTATCTCAGGTACATTTTGCCGCCTCCTACCCTCCTCAACACACACCAGAGTCTGGCTGGCTTTCTTCTTCTTGTTGCAGGCTCCCAGGTGTTGGCCTGACCATTGGCTTCCTACTTCTGGGCCACTTTTCTGAGATTACAGTCCCGACCTTTATCTTTTTTTTTTTTTTAGATTTTTTTATTTATTTATTTGTGAGAGAGAGAATGAGAGACAGAGAGCATGAGACGGAGGAGGGTCAGAGGGAGAAGCAGACTCCCCGCCGAGCAGGGAGCCCGATGCGGGACTCGATCCCGGGACTCCAGGATCATGACCTGAGCCGAAGGCAGTCGCTTAACCAACTGAGCCATCCAGGCGCCCCCGACCTTTATCTTTATTCTTGCACGAATTCTAGGTATCCCATTGGCTCTACCCAAGCAAAAAAGAATAGGATTTGTATGACGGCAGTGAAGTGTTTGTGTGTTTAACAGGGTATGTAGTGACACAAAAGCTGTCAGTATTTCTATACTTGTTTGTAATAATTCAAGTTTAGAATTTTTTCTTACATCCTTCCTCACCCCAGGCAATAAATACTTATAATTGTTTAACTTTAGGGAATTAAGAAAAGCCTTCCATCAACCCTACTTAAGTTCTTCTTTGAGAGGTGCCTGGGTGGCTCAGTCATTAGGCGTCTGCCTTCGGCTCAGGTCATGATCCCAGCGTCCTGGGATCGAGCCCCGTGTCGGGCTCCCTGCTCCTCGGGAAGGCCTGCTTCTCCCTCTCCCACTCCCCCTGCTTGTGTTCCCTCTCTCTCTGTGTCTCTCTCTCAAATAAATAAATAAAATCTTTTTTTAAAAAAAAGTTCTTCTTTGAGAAGAGATAGGCACTTTCTGTGGAATATATATAAGATAGAATGATGTAAATTTTGTCATTCCAGTACTAGTTTTTTTTTTTTAAGCAAAACCTCAGAAACTAATTTAGACAGTACAATATCAGTATTTTGAGTAGTTCCTGCATAGTAGAAATATCTAGTAAGATCCAAATTCTGTATGTATTAAGTTACTTCTACAAAGATTTTATCATATGCTTACAAATATCTTTGTATAAATGAAATCTGTTATAGAGTGAGAAAGGTAATCTCCTTCATCTGTATGCTGCAGACAAAATGTTGTCAAGCCCATTCTTAACAAGACTCTTGGAGATAAGTATTAGCCCTTTCTTTGATAGTCTTTTCTTTGATAATTACCTTTGCTCTCATGAAGTTGTCCTTTATGTCTGTCTTAGTTCTTCTGCTTTAATTTTCACCACTTCAAAGTGATATTTTAGGAATGATTAGAAATCAGCACATAGAAGAGGTGTTCAGCAGGTTTCTCACTGTTATAGGAAGAGGTACAAATAAGGAAAGGGAGAAGGCTAGAAACCACTCTGTGGTGCTGGATTAGAACCAGAGGTATCAGTATGAATCCATGATTTTTAGTATCTGTTCTGATGGATAGGTAAAGAAACAGAGATGTGTACATAAACATGGGTGGTTTATATACATAGGCTCCTTAGTCCTCTCTGCTGAGAAGGCCTAGAAGCAGTGACGCCCTAGTACAATGAGCATACTTATCATCCAGATTTTGTTTTCTAGAGAAATGACTGATGCCATAGATGAGATGGGAAAAATACAAGATAAGCCTAATACATCTTTTATATGGCCAGAAAGTAAAAAAGTTCTCAAAAAATGTTGGGGGTAGGGGCGCCTGGGTGGCTCAGACGGTTAAGTGTCTGCCTTCCGCTCAGGTCATGATCCCAGGGTCCTGGGATCGAGTCCCGCATCGGGCTCCCTGCTCAGCCAGGAGCCTGCTTCTCCCTCTGCTTCTCTCTCTCTCTCTCTCTCTGTCTCTCATGAATAAATAAATAAAGTCTTTAAAAAAAAAAAAAGTTGGGGGTATATCGAAAGGACACCGGACCCAACTTGAAGGGGTTCTCAATGCCCAGAGCTGGTTCAGTTGAAGCAACAAAGTAAATGATAGTATTAGATTATAACCCATAAAATAAAATAAATACCTGTGAGTCCATACACATACAAATAAATAATTGAACTGATAAATGGGGTAGAAAGGACAGCTCTTTTTACCATAGAACGCTAATTAATAAATGTAGAAGAAAAAGAAAAATGGAAAATCAACATGATCACACACCACAGTCATAATCATTGCAGGCAAGAACCACTGATGGATGCTAAAACATTAGCAGGTAAAAGTTTGATGTAAAAGAGGATACTTGCATGATCTTCATATATCTCCCCCACAAGATATTTGTTATTTTCAAAAGAAAAAAATAGCAGTTTTACAGTGGCAAAACCTGGCAGACACCACTTTAGCCATGTGATCAGAGTTAATATTGCCAGTAGTAAAACATCAATATCACATACCCCAATATATGATAACATGGAGAAGGGCATCACTCCTCTGGGATTCTTGCCAAAAATGTATAACTTCATTCTAATGAGAAAACATCAGATAAACTAAAATTGAGAGACATTCTGCAAAGTAATTGGCCTAGACTGTTCAAGAACATCAAGGTCATTAAAGACAAAGAAAGCTGGAGGATCTGTCACAGGTTAAAGGAGACTAAGGAGACCTGACAGCTAAATTCAGTAGGGATTCCTAGTTTGGATCCCAGACCATCAAAGGACATTAGTGGGGAATATGGCAAAATTTACATGAGATCTATAGATTACTTACTGGTATGATATCAATGTTGATTTCCTGGTTTCAGTATTTCTGCTATGGTTACATAGCTAGATGAGAGGTATATGGGAACTCTGTATATTTTTGCAAGTTTTAGGTGCTTCTAACATCGTTTCAAAATAAAAAGAGTTTTGTGTGATTCCTTTTAGAGGAGGGGGACTTGGAATGGATGGCTTCTAAGGTCTCCTCCATCCAACCTTATTATTCTATGATACAGTGATAGAATGAAGAATGGCAAAGATTTAAGCGCTTTTCTGTTTTGTTTGTCAATTAAAAAATATGTTGAGACAGATGAGAGGAGGATCAGATTTTATACTGGCAATTCAGTTTGGTGGGATATATCCTGAGGAGCTACTGTTGTGCCCAGTAGTAGACTGAATAAAATGGTCTTTGCCTCCAGGATGGTCAGTCTGCTAAAGCTTGAAAATGATGTGGTCTACCATTTCAATCATTTAGCTTACCAAAATCTTTCTTCCTTGATGTTTTAAAATAATGGAGATGGATAGAATGATCTAGAAATTAAGTCTTGGAATAAGAGAGCAAGAGCTCCCAAAGTGGGCCCTGAGATTTTTGAAATCTGGGTGTCTGGCAAGGTAATGATAAACATTAAATGAGATAAGCAACCTAGAAGGCCTTTGGTATTAAGTATTTTGTGTATGAGGAACCAAAAGAATATTCACATTAAGATTACTATCAGATAATTGGGTATTTCACTCTAGGGCAGAATGAAGATGCATGTATTGGGGAATAAAGAGAAATGTAATTCTAATGTTCCCTTAATACTCATTTGCTGGATGACTATACTGAATCAAGCCTATACTTTCATAATCCCATTATGAGAAATTTCTGAATAATAAATTGATATGTTTCATTTAGCAGATATTTACTGTTGAGTAGTAAATATTTCAGGAAAGGTAATGCAGTTAAGTCAAGAAGTTATGACTTGAGTTCTAAACTCCACTAATGGAGATGATTTTTGATTCTTAGGTATTTGGGGGCCTGTTTCTTTTTTTTTTTTTTTAATTTTCTGTTTTATTTCTTTTCTTTAAGTGAGGTGTAGTTGTGAATCAAGAAAGTTGTATAAATGAAATGGAAGTCTTCGTGCCATAATAGAGTTGAAAAAATTTATGAAACTGATATCTACCATCCTAAATTTTAACAAACGTCTTAGCCCTAACTTACATGGGTGTGATGTCTTCCATGGAAGATTAGAAGTTATGTATCTTATTTCTGTAGTAGGAGCATACAACATATATGAAGTTTTCAAGTCTCCACAGAATTGAAAAGTCAATGTGGGTACTATACTTTGAAACGTGTATACTATGGGCCTAAGGTGTTTTTTAATCTTCCATCTCTTTTAAGGATCAAGTATCATTAGAAAAATAAGCCATGGGCATTACAAACGTGGTGTGGTGAAATTCAATATTCACAATGACAATTCAGAATATGAGCTCCTTGGGGAAAGTTAACCCACCGCTCTAACTTTGCATCCAAATATCTTAAAGTGTGCTGTTGGTTTTATGAAAAGGTTTTGATCTACACTTCTAGTTTAAGTTCAAAAGAAAAACCTACATTTTAAAGTGTATTCCTTTTCTGGGTATATTTACTTTGAACTATAGCGTATAGTTTTTCTCATAAATCTAACCTGCCACTATCTGTTTTTAAGACTTTGTAAACTTCAAGTGGTTATGATGTGTGAAGTTTGGATTAAACTAAAATTTTTAGAAAACACATGTTACATATTTTGATTGTTTTGAATTTTAACATGGGCCAGTCAAAAACTTGAGTGTCTAGCAAAATAATATACTATACTCTGTTACTATAAGAAATCACGGAAAATTGCCCTTTCCCATCATGTTAACAATAGACAAATGAAGCAGTTGTTCTTATTCTTAATGTAGTTGTTTGAAAAACTTGCACAATTTAATGAAAATGTCTCTACTCATAAAATTTAAAATGCTCACACATGGAAAAAGTCATAATGTTTTGGCAAATATTTCTTTGTTAGGAATGTGAATGAGGCATACCTGCTTCATAACTAGAATTCTATATAAGTGTCATAAAACTGTGGGAGGAAGCCAACTGAAAAAGAAGACTCTGACAAAGGATGAATTAATGCTTTTTAAAAAATACAGATAGTTCTTGCTCAAACATACATTTTTGACAAGGAATAATTATAACATATACCCCTCTTCTTTTTTTTTTCCAGGCATAATTCTTGGGTCATCATTTCTACTCAGCATAAATGATTTTCTGCTTAAAACAAGTCTCAAAGAAAGAAATCGGATTCTGTTAGGACCATGCTGTGCTACTGTCAATCTGGAAGCTAAGTGGTGTAAACACAGTGGCAATCCAGGCCCAGAACAGTCCGTACCAAAAATATCCATTGATTTAAGAGGAGGTCTGCTACAGGTCTGTGGGAATTGGCCACATTTTTCCCATAAGTTTTCAACTAGCCTTTGTTCATTTTTTGAACTGTTAGACTAAATCTTGATAGGGTGAGAAAGAGTATTATCAGATTGATCTCTTACTAAACTTTTTTTAACAGCTTTATTGAGATAGAATTCACATACCATACAATTCACCTAAATAAAGTGTACGATTCAGTGGTTTTTTAGTAATTCATGAAGTTGTGTGCTCATCACTATAACCCATTTTAGAACATTTACACACACACACACACACACACGCACACACACACCCTCAAAACCCTGTATCCATTAGCATTCATTCCCCATTACCCTCTAATCCTCTCCCTAGGTCTAGGCAACTACTAATCCATTTTATGACTACATATTTGACTGTTCTAGACATTTCATGTAAATGGAATCATATAATCTGGTCTTTTGTGACTGGCTTCTTTCACTTAGCATAGTGTTTTCAAGGTTCATCCATTTGTAGCAGGTGCCAATACTTTGTTCCTTTTTTTTTTTTTAAGATCTTATTTATTTATTTGACACATAGAGAGAGAGAGTACAAGCAGGGGGAGCTGCATGCGGAGGGGGAAGCATGTTCCCTGCTGAGCAAGGAGCCTGATGCGAGGCTCAATCCCAGGACCCCGGGATCATGACTGAGCTGAAGGCAGACGCTTAACCAACTGAGTCACCCAGGCGCCCCTAGTTTGTTCCTTTTTATGGGCCAAATAACATTCCATTGTATGGCCATACCACATTTATCTATTTATCAGTTGATGGACTTTTGGATTCTTTCCACCTTTGGGTATTATGAATGATGCTGCTAGGAACATTTGTGTACAAGCTCTTGTGTGGACATATGTTTTCATTTCTCTTGGATATGACTAGGAGTAGAATTGCTTGCTGGGTCATTAAACATTTTTCTAATTATAGACTTTTCTACAAAGTAGTCAAGTTGTCTCAAGCACTGTGCCATCAGCAGTATATAATAACCATTTGCCAATGGCAGGTTCTTTAGATATTATAACATTTGATGATTAACACTTGATATATAATCAATTGCAGCCTTTTATGCATTTGATTTATAGCCAGGTATGGACTGTGTGAGGATATTCAACTTATTTCTTGGTAACTTTCTATTTGGATAGATGTGAATGTATTCTTGATATGATTTGATATCCCCCAAGTTTGACATAAATCCAAAAATCTTGAGAAATTCACAGTTACAGAAAATGGAAATGACTAATTTGTTAATAATGGAGGCGTATCATATATGAATTTCTTGTTTTCATCTAAAAGTTGTGTTGCCTTGACTTTTTCACCAGTTTTTTTACTGACGGGAAGATGTGGAAGGATTCTAATAACTTACTGCTTTGTATTGCTTTGGAGACTATAGGAAATCTTCATGTATTTAACAATAAGCATGTGATTTCATGTTGTTTTATCAACAGTATTAACTGTATTACCATTTTCCCAAGACAGCAAAGTAACTCCTCATTAAAATCAACAATAAGACAAAAACATAGTATATTATCTCTACATTATAAAGTCACTGTCTCTTGACAATTTAAAGCCCAGAGCACAGCGTTCAACTCCCCAGCTTGACTTTTCACCTATCTCTATTTTTCAGGATCCAATAAAAATAAGATTGATGAGAACACAGTAGACTTAGTATCACATCTCTTACCTTTATTTCTACTGCCTTAATTCCAGAGAGCAGGACCCAAACTTAGGTTTAAAATTTACCCACTGGTATAGGGTTATTTTTTTCTGCGTCTTTATATTTTTTCTCTTTTCTGTGTTTATCTGGTTCTCTTAGAAATAATGGTTGTATTGCCTTTATCCAGTATATACAAACAAATGTAACATTATTTGCATTTTGAGTCCTCTGACATTAATCATTATTACCCACGGGTCATACTTCTGTTATGGACTAGTACTCTTCACATGCAGAGAAAAGAGAATTTGATCCTCTTTATTACAGAAAACACCAAGGCCTTTGTTCTGAAACTCTACTGTATCTCCTCTATGGTTGCTTCTCAGGGGCTGTGGAATACTGTATGTTGGCACATTCTAGGTAAACACAGAAGTTGGGAGCCTTCTGAGTTCAAGTTCATTGAGCATCTTCCCTCTCTTTTTCTCTGAAGAGTCAAAGTGCAAAGAAAGGAACCTTATAATTGAGAGGTGTTTGTTTAATCTCATGACAAAATGTAGGAAGCTATTCCACAAGGTTATTATTATTCTTTTAAAAACGTTCTGGCCTAGAAGATCTTCATTGCCTTCCCTCAAACTGTAATAGGCATTGTTTTCTCACTTAGCTAAGTTAACTCATAAACATTACCTTGCACTAACATAATTTCATTGGTAATTCAGCATTGAAAATTGATTGTTATTAACACAATATATGATGTAATTGATTTTCTTGTTTTTATATATTTATTCAAGTAATAGAATTTCATCCCATAGGTCAATTACTTAGAAACTATAGTTAAGTTATTGTCAATAATTAAATTGAACGTAATTATGGTCTTGCATTAATTCAAGTATGATTGTGCCTAATTATCCTCATGAAATGTTTGTATTTAAAAGCCACTAAAATTTTTCGTATGATTGTTAAAGGTTTTCTGGGGTCAGGAACATTTGAACTGTTTAGTTCTTCTACATGAATTACTCAGTGGATACCTTAAGGAGGAGGGAAATTTTGAAGCGCAAGTTCCCGAAGCAGTGTCCCAAATGCCGTCTCCTATAGAAAAGAACCAGATGTTTAAAAGTGAACAAAGTTCAGATGACCTACGGACAGGCCTATTCCAGTATGTACGAGATGCTGGTAAGTAGCAACAGCTTCAGTATGTAAGAGAGTTTTAACTGCACGTTCACTAAATAGCACATTAAGATCACTTGAAAAGTACGTTAATACCTGCAGTACAAAAATAGTACATTACAAACAAACTGAGCGTTCTGGGGGGTGGGGGGTGGGGGGATGGGTTAGCCTGGTGATCGGTATTAAGGAGGGCACGTATTGAATGGAGCACTGGGTGTTACATGCAAACAAGGAATCATGGAACGCTACATCAAAAACTAATGATGTAATGTATGGTGATTAACATAACATAATAAAAAAAATAGTACATTACCTTTCAGTCTGTCTTGAGGGAAAATTCTTAATTTGTTCCTGTCTCAAACCAATTAAAAATGGCCAGCCAGCTTCTTTACATTCTTATCTTTTATCCTCATAATGTTCTCTTTCTGTAATAAATCAACATGTTTCCTTTCAAAAGCATGCAATTAATTATTTTTTCCTTTAACAGAACCCTTGAAAATGCCTGGTGTCTATGAAGTCTTGTTTTACAATGAAACTGAAGATAGCTCAGGGATGATGTTATGGAGATATCCAGAACCTAGAGTGCTCACCCTTGTACGGATAACTCCTGTGCCCTTCAACACCACAGAGGATCCAGATATTAGCACGGCAGACCTTGGGGATATGCTACAGGTAGGTAATGACTATTCATTTTAAATAAAAGCATTGTGGAAAAGTGCTGATTAGATACTAGGAAAAAAGATTAGAGGGATGCCTGGGTGGCTCAGTTAGTTAAGCATCTGCCTTCGGCTCAGGTCATGATCCCACGGTCCTGGGATCGAGTCCCACATTGGGCTCCTTGCTCAACGAGGGGCCTGCTTCTTCCTCTGCGTCTACGTGCCACTCCCCTTGCTTGTGTTCCCTCTCTGTCTCTGACAGATAAATAAATAAAATCTTTAAAAATAATAATCAAAAGAAGATTAGAGCATACCTCTTTTTCCCATCAATAGTATCAGAGAGAAATACACACAAATACATATACATACATATGTATACACACCCACAAAATAGAAATTTTAAAATAGGGAATAATGTAATTCAGATTCACAATTCATGGCAATTTTGAGAGTTCTCAATTCTACTCTTAGCCCTTTTATAGGAGGTTATGTTACATGTTCTCTGAGTGTAATGGGACAGCTGTCATTCAGTTCACCACACATTTTTCAGATACTTACCATGTGCTCACACTCTTCAGCATTTCTAGAACTGCTTTATGAAATAAAATATGTTCACATAGGCCAGAATGGATGGCTCAGTTTTCGTCTTCATTTCCAGAGCTGAGAATGGTCTCGGGCTTGAGGTGGCTGATAGGAAAACTGTCTAACCCATGGTCGTATTCCATATGACTTTGTGAAAGTTTGTTGCTTGTCATTTCCCTAAGTTTAACGTAAATGTCACTAAGGCTGTCACTACATTATCTTTCCGCTTCTCAATATTCTACAGATCTGATTTCTCCAAAACTCTGTTTTCCTCTTAGTTTTCCACATATCACTAGATCACACAAACTCAGAACAATGAGGTTGCTCTCTTTCCCTGACTCCCCACATCTACTGCATCAGCAAGTCCGGTCAGTTCTGCCCCCAAGATATGTCCCTATTCCACCTACTTCCCTCTTTTTACTGGTACAACTTGAGTCCAGGCTGCCCCCTTCCTGTTCCCTGCTACAGTTGCTTCCTACTTGGTCTCAATGATTCTATTCCTGACTCCCTGTAATGCATTTTCCAAATAGCAGCTAAAGTGATCTTTTAAAAATGTAGATCAGGTCACATCACTCCTCTAACTTAGAACCTGATGGTGCCTTCCTCTACTTCTTAGAACAAAATTCAACCATCTTGCTGTGGCCTATAAGGACCTATGATGTGTGCCCTGCCCACCTCGCTGACTTGGTCTCATGCCAGTCTCCCCATTCCTTACTATGCTCCAACCATACTGGTTGAGTATCCCACTTGACAGTCATTTCTCTTGCTCTCTTCCCCAACTTTGTCATTCAGGTACCAGCTCAAATGTCCTATCATGGCTGGTTCACTACCACTTCTTTATTCTAAATTACATTACCTTGTTTTACTTTTGTCATAGCTCTTATTACTATTTAGAATTATAGTATGCATTTATTTATTTACTTGCTCATGGTCTTTCTCTCTCTACCATTAGAAAATAAGCTCCTTGGGGGCGTCTGAGTGGCTCAGTCGATTAAGCATCCAACTCTTGCTTTTGGCTCAGGTCATGATCTCAGGGTCCTGAGATCGAACCCTGCATTGAGCTCTGTGCTCAGCAGGGAGTCTGCTTGGATTCTCTCTTGCACTCTCCCTCTGCCACTCCCCCCACTCATGTGCACGCACGCTCTCTTTCTCTCTAAAATAAATAAATCTAAAAAGAAAAGAAGCTCCTTGTATTTCTTGATCACTTTTATCTAGCACTTGGTACACAGAGATATTCACCAATTTTTTCTTTTTCTTTTTTTTTGTTTTTTAGAAGGGGAAGGTGGGGAGGGGGGAGAGAGAATCTTAAGCAGGCTCCATCCCCAGTGGGGAGCCCAACATGGGGCTCGATCTCATAACCCTGAGATCATGACCTGAGCCAAAATCAAGAGTCGGATGCTTAACCAACCAAGCCACCCAGATGCCCTCCCCAATTTTTTTAATGAGTGCTCTGTACTTTTTTTTTTTTTTTGAGACTTATTTATTTGAGAGAGAGAGAGAGAGCATGGAGGAGAGGGGCAGAGGGAGAGAGAGTCTTAAGCAGACTCCGTGCCAAATCCAATTTGAATCCAAAATTCGTATTAACATATTAGCATATTAACATTGACATATTATATTCTTATTTAATTCTTGTTTTAATTTTTTATTATAATATATTTAGTCAGATGTTCACCTTCTGAATTGATAACAATAAAATGTGTCATCGTTTTGTCAAGTAAACCTGAGTGTGCAGAACTATCTGATTTGCCAAGATGTCAACAGTCTTTAATTTGATTTTTTTTTCTTGTGATGAGAATTTTTAAAATCTACTCTCTTACCAACTCTGCTTTGATTCTTTAAATCCTTAAATTTGTTTCCCCTCCTATTAATATCATATTCAGGATTACCTTCTCTACCAGCATTCTTGGATTATTTTGGCTAAGTAAAATAGCAATATCTTTGAATACTACTGCCTTATGAGACTTGCCCAAATGCAGAACATCTTTAGTATGTTCAGTCAAAATGAAAATACTCCTATGTCAAAGTTTCAGCATCATGTAAGGGCTTCTTTGTAACTGCTTGTTGGGTCCATATTTATAACTCAGTGTTAACTAACATAAGTCCTATAACTCTTAGTGGTAGTATTAGGCCAGTTGTATTAAATGAGGCATTTGAGATAGTACATTCGCTGGTAACGTGTTCTTTATCTTCTCACGGACATTGGGTAAGGAAGAACAGCCTTCGGGTTAAGAGGATAAACTCTAGCCAGAATGCTTGATGTCACCTTAGACAAGTAACTTAATCCCTCAGCCTCGCGCCTTTTGTTTTGCTTTTTTTTTCATCAATAAGGAGGCTATTAATAATGTGATGATTATGGGAAGGAATGTTTGAAAGACACATCGAACAATGCCTGGCACACAGCGTGTGCTATGTAATATTTAAGTATGAGTATTACCAATTACTACCCTGGTGACAATCGTCAAAAGTCTTTTCATCAAATAGAAGCATAAGCTAGACCAGAGAGAGTGGGGGCTGGTGATTCTACAGACCAGCTGGAGTAGTCCAGGAGAGCTGGGACGGTCCCAGGGTCTAGACGGTGGATTTGTCACATGAGCACAGCACTGCATGAAGGAAGCATGGCAGGGGGCAACAGGCAAAGCGCTGGTATCAGAGAGGTTTCACACCTTATTGGAGAGATAGGAACTGTGAGTTGTGGGCACAGTTCAAAGACAGGGATGCTGGTCTAAGAAGCAAGAGAGCCTTGACCTCCTGTGAGTTGAAAGGGAGAGCTTGATCGCAGCAGTAAGAACACCCAGAATCAACGACTGGCACGGAAGAATAAAGTGGGACTGGCAGAAGGTTGCCATGCAGCTGAGCTCCCAGTCTGATCTTTATGTTCCCCTGACGAGGAGCAGAATTTGACCCAAGGGTTGGGGTGAGCCTCATTGGTAGAAATAACTCTCTGGGTTGCAATCTTAGAACTGTACAAACTATTTCGTTTCCTTGGAGCTTCTGTTGAGAACAGAAAATATGTTGCATGAATCACAGCTTTGATTCGATATGACAGCTTTTTCCTTGAGCACTTGCAGTGCCAGACCTTGGACTTGCTTCTGGGGATTCAGCTCCTCAACTGAACGCTGGAGTTAATGTTATTTACCTTTCAGAGATGTTACAAGAATTGAGTGAAATATTATAGCTAAAACAAATAAATGCCTTACACATAGTGAGCTTTCAATAAATGTTCATTTCTTTCCCTCCACTCCTTCACAAGCAAATGTCTGGACCACTGAAAGAACCTTCTAAAGAGAATTCCAGCCTTTGGTCTCTCTTCCTTCAAGCTATCCTACTAAGTTCTTCAAGGAACAGGTGGACTGTATCAATTCCTTGAGAAAAGCTTTCAGTGATCCTGTCACCCTCGTAGACTGACCTTGAGGGCCCTGCACAACCTCTCCACCCCCACCCAGCTTTACCTTTCACTCCATTACACATGATCTACCCTCTAGTCAAACCGACCTGTCCAGCATTTACCAAAGCTGCCAGTGACAGCCCACTTCCATACCACTCCCTCTTCATTTGAATCTCCCCTTTCTATGCTGAAATCCTACCCACACTTCCAAACAGCCCTTATGCCCTCAACAGCATGAAGCCTTCCCTAGATGCCATCTCCACACAAATTACCCCCTTCCTCTGTAGTCCTGTGACACTCCATAGCAGCACTTTTATGCTATTTCTTACCTTATTCCTCACATTTTAATTATGTGTTCATATCTTGTCTCCTAGATTGTAGGTTTCCAAAGGCAATGATTGTATCAAATCTGTCATCCTGTCCCTTCTAGTATCCACTGCCCTGGAGAGATGCTAAGTATATCAAATGGATGAATGAATGCATGAATGTCCATGTTTCTATTTTGTATTATTCAAAAGTATTACATTGCTTGTCATAGTTTTGTGGGGCTGTTGAATGAGTTTTGGTTTTGCAAACTGAATTATGTCAAGATGCATCGTGTTATGCTTCACTGGTATTATCTACCATAAACACACAGTCTAATGTCATTACATTACATAGGCTTTTGGTGAGATCATTGAATATACTGCCAAGCCCACCGCCCCCTAGACAGAGGCTAGTTCTTAAATACAAAGATAACTTAATCTCTTTGGTTTTAGTCCTAAAAACAGAATCACGTTTGGTTGACTTTTTCCTTGAGGATCGTTTAGTTCATAAAAAACTGACCTTATAGAGTTCACTTATACAGAACCCTCACATTTGTCTGTTTATATATCTTTCAATGATTGATAATGGCATTTATAAATAGGCTCCCCATATGACTTTATGGAATTTATTTTGCAAGTGTAATGAAAAATATGGAAAACATGTTTATAATATTAAATCAAACTAACCATAGGTTCTGCATAAAGACCCTGAAATTAATGTTCACAGAAAGCAAAAGGAGCTTA